TGCTTGTCTAGTTGTGAGTGCTGAAAGGCCCTGAGCCCTAAACGTCCTCAATCCCATAGCCCTACACCGCCTATACTAAGCGCCCTAAGCAGGCCCCGTTTGGAATCTTCGACATGACGGGCGGCGGCCACTGGGGCTCCAGCGGGGAGCTGCACTTTGGCTCAACATGGACAAACAAAAGACCGTCTAAATGAGTAACATAGAGTTGAGGGCTTAGGGGTATCTCCTGCAGACGTTCTTGACGAGCAGAGAGCTCTGTGCAAGATCAGAACCAGAAGGTACTACTCGAAAGGGAACTGGGCTCTCTGTGGCTTTAGGCCTGGCGAAGCCAGGCCAAACGCTGTTAGATTTTGGTTGGCTGCAGGAGTGTAGGTTTCCTGTGCGGCTCGTTGACAACCCTTTGAGCAACCCAACAGACCACCTTTGTCGTCGGCGTCTCATCGGAGGCTCGATGCCATCTACCGCACGAAGCCGAAGGCTGCTGGATCCTTCAGGTTTTGCCTGCACTGGGACTGCCCTAACTTGGCCTCGACTTCTCTTTTGCGGGCCTTGGAGCCATAATCGCGTGCTTCAGTCTACAATTGAGGCTCGCACTGGGGCTTGTATATTGGGATTGGCTCATGCGACTGCTTGGCGGCGAAGACCGTTTCTTTACTTTCCTGCTGCACTCTGTGCTCTGTTGCAGGGATCCCATCGTGTAGCCTCTTAATCTCTTAATCCCCTGATATCTTCCAACCGTGGGGGGTCTGATCGCACAGTGGAGGTGCATCTCTTCGGGCACATCCACGAGCAGCGCGGGCATTGGGACAAGGCGGACGTCGCTGCTCGCAGTTGCAAAGCGTGAGTCTGAAGCTTCAATCCCCAGCGAAGTAGGCGCCAGTCTCCGCACGTGCATAGTTGAAGGCAGGGAGCCAGTACCAGGGCGGCGTGGAGTACAGGCCCAATCCGCAGCTTGGCCGATCTGTTGAAGCGTGGGCAAGTCTCTGCGGAGTATACTGGCAGCAACAGCACCAGCTTTGCTCCTTCAGCGGCTTCCAGGCATTCTGGACAGGTTTTCCGCCCCAATGGTCCTCCTCCGCAGAACTACCCCGTGGAGGCTGGAAAAGGAAGTCCTTGGATGTTGGCCGTGTGCTTGCAGCTTCGACATTTTCAAGCGTTGCAGTGCTGCGATGTTCGGCTCGCTGAGTCATTTGGCAACCTCCACCGGTGGTTGACATGACGTAGCGGTGTCTTCAACACAAACCCATACTTGGCCATCCAGGAAGGCAGAGGTCATTCAATGATTCGGATCGCAGCCTGGGCCGGATGCGCCCTCTAGGACTCGGACCACCGGATTTTCTCTGCACGCATGTCACCTTCACGGTAGGCTAACCACCTGTCTCTGGAAGTACTGAGAGTTTCGGGGGCCCCGAATCGCCTGCGAGCCTGCGAGGTGGAATCCAACAATGCCATGGCCAATCAGCCATCCGTGGCTCGAAAGCAAGAACGGAGCGCTTGAGCTTTCCTTGAGGAGGTTTGCTCCTCGTTACCTCGAGTTTGTTCTACGATTCATACCTCATGGTACTCGCTCTACACATCATGTGCATCCACGTTGTTTTTTTTTTGGGGGAGCTCTGTTTCTGGTGATCTGGATGAGGTGGACCACAGCTGGACCGGCGCCACTCGGTGTGTTTCTAGAGCTAGCTGGCGGTAACTGTTACAAGGGCCCTCAGCCAGGATTCGGCTTGCAGCGGATCCGCCCAGAAGTTCTCAAGTTCCTACAGGGGCCAACGAGCCTCCCCAAGGAGTCGGCTTGCAGCGAAGCAGCCCGAAGCCATGTTTCAGGTTTGGGCACCTCAGCACATTGTCGGCCGCCCTCGGGTCATCATCGCGAGGCTCTCGAGAAGACGTGCTCTTTCGGAATGGCTGTGAGGGGCAGGGAAGTTGATATCAGTTTCCAACTTAAGGCACTCTTCAATTCCAGAACCTTCCCCCTCCAAAAGCCATGATGCCCACAGCTTCTCTGCAAGGAAGCAGCCCGACGGATGGCACTTTGCATCTGAGGCCAGGGCTTGGCTCGGTTAGGACAACAGGCTTCAACCGCTCTCCGCCGACTGCAAAAGGCGTTTTTCGATAAATCAGCTTGGGGAGGCCTGGTCTTTTTCCTCCCTACCGCTGCATGTCAGAAAGCCTGCCAACTCCATGGTAAGGGCCCACCCAAAACCGTGGGTACCTGTAGCAGTTGCTTCCCAAAAACCATGCCCGCAGCCCTTGGGGAGGCCTGATCGCTTTCTCCAGAGGTCGCGGACAAATTCGCTGAAGAGCTCTTGCAACGTGGTTCGTGCTGTTTGAGGGAATGAAGCTTCAAGTAGACTTGTCTTTTCCGGGGCTCTCCATCTTCCTTCTTTTTGCAGATGAGGAAAGCTTTCGAATCAAGCAGAAACCCGAATCTACCCCCCCCTCCCGGAGCCGCTAGAATGTTAGAAGCAAACTTACACCCCCAGACCTGTTAGGAGACGCTTAACGTTGCTGAGCTGGATCAGTACGTGCCATCATATACGTAGAGCGAGAAACCCGGTCATGCAGCGGAGTACCACCAAGGCACAAAGCTTTCGCAGGGTTTTGCCGGAGCCACCAGAGCCACTGGGCGTGAGATCTCCCGCAGCTCTCAGGCACGTGCATGGCGAGCTGGGCGAGTCCAAGAGTGAAGTCGCCAGCCCACAGCGTTCCCCAGGGGCCTTGTCCCTTGATCACCCGCAGGGCAGCGACGAGGAAGGTGTGCATATTCCGTGCCACGGAAACCCCAGCGAGATCCAGGAAAGGCTTAAGCTCAAGTAGTTGTCGCTAGGCAAGTTCCCGTACTGTAGGAAGGCCCGGACCCCTTGAGGAAAATTCAGTGGGCGCAGGACCGGGCATGCCAGCATGCCAAAGCCGACACTCATCCGACCGGCTGCCAGGACCTCTCTCCCAAGAGCTTCTGAAGAAAAAGAGTCTACACAGTACCTTTCGGGAGCCCGGCTGCTCGGCTCTGCGTGGCCTTTTGTGCGTTTTCGGCTCGGCTTTTGAAGCCCCGGTCTCATGCGCAGCTCGCGCCCTTACCCCGATGCATGATATCCACGGCTGCTGCACAGAGACCTTGACCTCGGCTCCTCTCAGAACTTGGAGTCGGGAGACACGTCCCTTTGCAGCAGTCTTGACAGCAGGGCCCCATGGGGGGTTTTGTTCTCACAACTGCGACGCCTGGGCAGCACTTGACCCTGCGCTTGTGGCAGGTGGACGACCCATCCCTGCGAACCGTTTAGGCTTTTTGGGCAGTGCTGGAGACCCGGACCCGTAAGTCCGAGAATCTCCAGAAATTCTGTTAAGATGTGCGCCCGACGCTATCTGACAGTGCACTGCTGAATGGAGTACTCGATGTGGAACTTTTCCGTGGACATAGCGGCATAGCGGAATTCCCATCGACGGGCTCATGCATGCCTAGCTGCAGCAAGGGTGGGCGGGACCTGATGCAAGGAAAAATCTACACACAAAAACACACACGCACACACGCACGCTCCGTGTCGTCGAGTGACTGTTTGCTGTTGAATTGATGGCGCAGAAGCACGAAGCCGCTAGCATCATGTGGATTCAATCACCCGGAAACAGCTGCCGCTAAGCTTCGTTACGACATGCAGGCGCGGGGAGTGTACGACACAGCCTTTAAGGAGAGCCCTTTTCGGTAAATCGGAGAGCGACCATCTGTGTAAGGCAGCCACTTGGCGTGGATCCGCAGGCCCACCCGGGCTGCAAGTTTGAGCGAGCAGTCGCTAAAATCCCCATCGAAGACCGAGATGGCGCGGCTCAACCTCGTTTCAACTGGTGACGTGCGCAATGCGTAGACTTGAAGCTTAAAGTGTCCTGGCCTGGTTGAAGCGGGGAGCACGGGAGCCCCTGGGGGGAGAACTCGAAAGCGGCCCAAGTCTTTTCCAATCCTTTTGGCTTCAGTTCACCGCTTAAAAAAGTACCGAGCTCTCTCAGAGCAGATGCGAAGATGCGAAGGAAAAAGGCCACGCCTAGACGATGCATGGCAGTGCCAGCGAACGACAGAGCTAAAGCCTTCCCCCTGAAACCAGAAGAGCCCACCCCAGAAAATCCGAAGCCCCCAGTGAAAGCACCGAAGGTACCGTGTTGCGATCCTGGAGCATGCAAAGCAAACCGGTTGCAATGACAGCCAGGCTGGGAAGATGTAGGGCTATGTTGAGTTTTTGCGAACTGCAGCATGCAGGGCTTGCAATTTCTTGTGATGTCTCCTTACACAAAAAAGTCCCAGTTTCTGGATGGCCCCTCCAGCCTAGTCCCGCGTGACAGTTCTCGACTTGGGCACGGGAAATGACGGACAGAATAGGCATCCTTCAAGACGGAACGTTGCGAGGGGGAGGGGAGGCAGACCTTTCTGTCTTGGCAAGGCCATGATGGATGCTTTGCTCATGCGGCATGCGAAGAAGTCCGATTTTCCGGCCGCAATCCTGGTTATCTAGCAGCTGTTGAGTTGTGGAAAGCCTCAGCGGAGGCTTGCATGTAGGCTGGGCATGCATAGCACATGAGTCTAGACACGGAAGGTGGTGTCAGGCTTCCCATGCGATGTCCATCCACTTCTCCGCTTGTTTCGGGACCCCTGCACCGAGACGTCACAGGCTGTCCTTGCAATGCACCTGATTCGCGCTTGCTCGCGTCCCCTGTTCCCAAAACTGCGAGAGGTTGAGTCCAATCCAAGTACTCAGGCGATGCCCTTCGGATACAACGAGGCCGTAGGGCCCCGGATTTGTCCGAGTCGGGCTAAATGCAACAGGCACACAGCACGGAGAGAGATGGACATTGGGACAGAAACAGAGGGGCTGTGAGTCGTGAGGTTGGCGGCTGAGCATGGTAGAGCGTTGTTAAGTTGTGTGCTGTTCACAATGCCACCCTGCCTAATTGGCATGACGTCTGGCCAATGCGCACCAGAATACTGACCGGCGTGTGAAAGAGCTGGGCATGCACACAGAAGGACGGCAAAGAGGGGCTTGACGGCTCTCAACTCGCTAAGCCCAAGTTGCCTCGAGTCTTCAACTCTTGGACCGGAGCCTCAAAGTCGGCGCAGGACGGCTTCTTCGTAGAGCCTGCCCCGCCTGACGTAGAGGCATCGAAGCTTTCCTTCCAGGCTTCGTGGCGAGGCTAAGAGATTCGGAAGCATCGCCGCAAGACTTGCTTGAGGCTCCTGTTGAGGAATGCCTGTTGAGACTGTATGGGAAAGCAGGTACACGGCGACTCAAGATTCCCTTAATGCCACGCATGTGTGATAGGCTCACCTGTGCATAATAGAGGCTTATGGGTTGCCTTTGTAAGTACGAGGTATTCATGTACAGAACTCTATTGGTGGAGGCTAACATTGTTAATTGTCAGCATGCAGACATGCGGGTCTCGGAGACAAGGGAAACCCGATGTGGACCATAGTGTGAGTTGCGAGAGCGTAAAAATAGACGATAGAACCAACAAGCATAGTAATAGCATCAAAAAATTACATCATAAAACGAAGGAGAATGAGAATCATCATCATAGCAATAAGGATACTAGAATGTTAGGATCCTTAGACCCTGAGAAGCGAGCCCTTCAAGAAGGGTGGCTGGCAGCAGCCGGGCAGCCTTGGGCTGCCGGCGGCCATGTCAGGGCCCTGTTTTGTGGAGTTTGGGGGGGTTATAGGGCTAAGTAGGGTTTAGGGTTTTTGGGGAGGGGGGGGGGGGGGGNNATGTGTTATGGGGGGATTTGCGGGGCTAAGTTGGGAGGGCTCTGGGGTTCTAGTATCGGAGATGATCGGAGTATTCGGGTCATGCTGGCGTCATTTATTTTTTCGATCCGACTAAGTTGCGGCCCTTGTGTTCACTCGTGGCCTTGGAGTTGTAGATGCCGGGCTTTACAGATATCGGGTTCAAATTGCATCACATCCGCGTGAAGCAACGGCGGCGATATTTTTTGCCAGATCCGATCATGCACCGTAGAAGTCTCCGGCCTGCTTTTGCTGCACTGATCTTCAATGTGACCTTTGAAATGGCCGAGCTGCATCTGAGATCTTTGCATCTCCACTTCAAGGAGGAGTTTATCCAGAATCTTGATCGGGATCATGGTGCCTGAGTCCCTAAACAACCCTCGAAAAGTGTGCTTCAGAGCACCACCGGACCTGATTACTTGCCAAGTCCTCTGACCCTTTTGAGTGTGAACCTTCCCTTCAATGGCTCCCTCAGACTTAAACCCTGAACCCTTCGATTTCCTTCACCCTAAACCCTGAAACCCT